ATCATGAAGACCTAGGCAAGGGCAGATGTTGCAGCCCTGTTCTTCCTACAGCATTGCCAGGGAGGAGTGCAACCTTGAACACTATCCTGCACAAGCCTTGGAGCCACTCCAGCAGTCAACAGCTGAGTCTTTGTGTGAAGCAAGAACAACCTCCCTTGGCTCCTTGAGGTACCAGCCATTGTGTCTTCCCAGGCATGGAAGAAAATGCAACAGTTTAGTAGATGGCTCCATACAAGCTAGATCCACCCATCACCCATCCTTGATGGGTGGATCTAGCTCACGGAATCACTGATCTCAGTTCACTGAATTCTCAGATAATTTTAAGAAGTTTACAAACAAGAATAGTATTTTTTTGGCTTTTGCTACATGGAAAATTATAGTTAAAGAGACCACATTACACAGTCTAGTTTTATTTCCAGTCATAGTCTCTTTATATACCATCTAGATACATTTTTACATTTATTAGATTTTTTTAATCATTATTAAAATAATGTATTAATCTAGAAATTTTGGGAACGACAAAGAGCAGAGAAATATTGGAGGAAAATCCTCCATGTTCCCACTATTCAAAGTTAATGTCATTTTATTTCTTTTTTTAAGATTTTATTTATTTATTTGAGAGAGCGAGAAAGAGGGAGAGCACAAGTGGAGGGAGGGGCAGAGGAAGAGGGAGAAGCAGACTCCCTGCTGAGCGGGGAGCCTGATGCAGGGCTTGATCCCAAGACTCCAGGATCATGACCTGAGCCAAAGGCAGCTGCTTAACCAACTGAGCCACCCAGGTGCCCCTCACATTTTGTTTATCTCTAGTCTTTTTTTTTTAAAGATTTTATTTATTTATTTGAGAGAGAGAGCACAAGACGGGGGTGTGGGAGAGGGAGAAGCAGACTCCCTACTGAGCAGGTAGCCCGATGTGGGACTCGATCCTGGGACTCCAGGATCATGACCTGAGCCGAAGGCAGTCGCTTAACCAACTGAGCCACCCAGGCGCCCTATCTCTCGTCTTTTTTAATGCACATATTGTTCTCACAGAGTTCTGGTTAGACAATACATACTTGATAAGAGCTCAAATACATAAATACCATTAATGAGCTCTTAAATTGATTATATTTACCTGCAATTTGATGAACAAGATGTCAATTTTTCCCCCTCTGATTATGAATCAAATGTAACTGTAACAAGTGTTCTAAAGAAAAGTAACAGTGCTGTGAACACCTTTAATAGAGGGCTTTACCCTCAACTAATGGGAGCAATTAAAAATAAAATAGGCTGTTTGGACAATCAAAAAAGTTTAAGAGACAACGAAAAGCTAGGACAGGATTGAATACTAAAGTTCATCTACACAAAACTTCTACTTCAAGACTGGAAGAAGAGGCTGTCTTATCTAATGCATAGAAACCAACACAGAATGTCAAGCAAAATGAAGAAACAGAGGAATATGTTCCAAACAAAAGAACAAGATAAAAACATCAGAAAAAAAAATTAATGAAGTAGAGATAAATATTTTACCTGATAAAGAACTCCAAATAATGGCCATAAAGATGCTTACTAAATTCAGGAGAACTTCAACAAAGGGACAGAAAATATAGGAAAGTTCCAAGCAGAAAAAATGGAATCAAAGAATACAATAATTAAACTGAAAAATACATTAAAGGGTTTCAGCAGGAGACTAGAAGAAGCAGAAGAAAGGATCAGTGAACTTAAAGACAGAGCAGAGGAACTTACCCATCAGGGCAGCAAAAAGAAAAAAGAACAAAAATAAGTAAAAATAGCTTAAGGGACTTATCGGACAACATCAAACTGACTAACATTTGCCTTATAAGAGTCCCAGAAGAAGAAGAAGAGAGAGAAAAAGAGGCAGAAAACTTACCTGAAGAAACTTCCCTAACCTGGGAAAAGAAACAGATATCCAGATCTGGGAGGCCCACAGAGTTTCAAATAAAACGAATTCAAACACACTATAATTAAAACAAGTTAAAGACAAGAAGAGAATCTTAAAAGTAGCAAGAAAAAAAAAAAAAAAGCTTGTTACATACAAGGGACTCTCCTTAAGACTCTAAGCAGCTTTTCAGCAGAAACTTTGCAGGCCAGAGGACAGTAGCATGACATATTCAAAGTGCTGAAAGAAAAAAAAAATCTAATCAAAAATACTCCATCCAGTAAAGTTATTCAGAACTGAAGGAGAGAAGAGTTTTCTAGATAAGCAAAAACTAAAGGAGTTCATCACCACTAAACTGGCCTTAAAAGAAAGGTTAAAAGGACTTCTTTAAGCTGAAAAGAAGGGGCATGAATTAGTAATAAGAAAACATATGAAAGTATACATCTCATTGGTAAGGGTAAAAATATATTAAAGGTAGTAGATTAATCATTTATAAAGTCAATAAAAAGTGAAAAGGCAAAAGTCTTAAAGGTCAGGGTGATAACCATTCTCCTCCTCAACTTACTGAAAGGGACTATATCTTGGAGACCATTCCAGTATAATCTTATCAGTCAGGAGGACAGGTCCACCCGGCTTTCCTTTTTGTGCTCTGACTCAAGAGGAGCAGAACACACATTCAGTAAATAATCTCAATCTAGTTTTTCCAGTCAACTTCTCTCTTTACTTCATCTACAAAACGTGGCTATTAGAGATTTATCTATATCACCATTCTGAAGCTGAAAGCCAGATTGCTGTGGAACTCTGAGCAACTGTGAGATAAAGGAATGGCACTATAATTGATTCTCTGGAACCAAGCTTAGGTATCATTTATCACTTGTTCTTTCAAAAGTCAAAGAAGTTATATTAGTTGTACAGTACATACAATGTTTTAACATCTGTGAGTATTCAGTAATAGAATATCAACTTTCCTATAAGGATTCCAGGCCTGATGATTACTTTTTCACATCAGAAAGTGTAACTTTTGACAATAATGTGATTTTCATTCTTTTCTTCTGTTACAATATTTTAAAACTCAGTCTGGAATAATTGAAAATGCAACACTCTAATGTACACACACACACATAACAATGCACTTAGGTAACAGTTAATATGGAGACATCAGTAGCTTTGAAGTCAGTACCTTCTATGGGTAATTTTAACTGGTCCTTAGGCAGGTTCTTATCTCCCCCTTGTAGTTACCCTATTACAAGGTACTGACACTAATAGGGAACAAAGATAGATATAGACAAGGGATTGTATTCTATTGGGTCAAAGCACACAGTAAGTGTACTGTACTTAAGAGTAATGTGAGAAGAAAATAGCAATTCCCGAAGCTCCCTTAAGAATTTAGAACACCAGGTCAAGATTTGAAGCTGACAGCTTCAGTGGGTGTGATACGGCTGCCAGGCAATGACCCCACAAGCCCTGTTGGACAAATTAATCCCAAAGGTACCACAGGCAGAAGATGACCCAATTACTGAGAAGAAGGTCAGGTATATAAAAGACAATGATGAGAACAAGCCACAAGGACTCAAATATCAAAACAACTGTAATTGTCAGATTTTGATTATAAGTCAAAATCAGAAACTTCTCAGAGAGAAAAGAATAAAATGCCTTATTGAAAATCAGTGTCCTGATGCTCTTGGGGGTAAGAACAACCCTCAGGTTTCAAATGAAAGAGGAACCTCCACGTTCACTGCTAGCTGGAACTGATATGAAATAGAGAAGGCAGACAAAGATGACCCAGAAAAGGGATGTGCAGACTAAGAGTCTGATGACAAGTATCTTGATTTTGTTGAATTTTTTATTTATTGCCTCTTCTACCTGCTCTTTCCATATTGATTTTCTTTTAAATGGTCTTTGCCCTTTTAAAATTGATCTTAAAAACTGTTCTTTGCCAAATATCTGCACTGCTTCTGATGTTCCATTTAATGACATTTAAAGTATTTATTTTACTTCCCCCCCCAAAGGAAATGACTTGACTCTGACTTAATTCTATTATAGGAAAAAACTGGAAAAATAAAGAAAACCAAATTTATTTGTTGTCACTAAGCAAAACTGATAAATTTACTCTATAAAATGTTCATGAAGTATATCCCCCCAACTATGACCCAGATGAAGAATGTAAAGAATACTAAAGTAGTAAACACATTCATAGTATATTGGAGTAATTTTAAAAGGACTCATGCCAAACACACAAGAATGCTTGCCTATTTGGGGATGAGAGGAGAAGAAATGGGAATAAAGGAAAATAAATACATACATACATACATACATACATACATACATACATACATACATAAATGGAGCCTCTCACAAACCAGCGATGAGTGTTAACATGCCATGACTTGTGGAGAGTAATTAACTCAACTCTCTACATCTAAGATTAGAAAAAAGATTAAAAAACAATTTTTGTTTTGAAACCACTCTGTGATGATGAATAATGAGGTATTACGTCCCATGACAACAGGCTCATAAAAGATTCTCGAGTAGCTCCAAGAGGGGCATTCAAGAGCTTAGTCTGGTTATGAGGAGAGAAAGAAAGAAAATTCCCTGGAAAGCTGTTAACTATGGATCTAAGCTCCTCCCATCCTTACAGTGACTGGACAAGATTGAAAAGAGACTATATTTGCTTTGCAAGAATTTCACCCTTTTGCCTTTTCATAAATTGCTTTTCTAGGTCTCCTATGCTTCTTTCTGAACCTATCTCTAAATTATTTCACATTCAGTTGTTATTGACTGATGTAGGCCTCTTTGTCAGAACGAAATGAACCTCCAATACAGTTGTGTTTAATAGAGACACACAACAGAAACACTCAGGGAGATTTTATCAAAATCCATTATGTCCCAGCTCCACCTCTGTAGACTCTGATTCAGTAAATTTGCATTTATGTAGTGGTAGAATGGAAAAGAAAGAAGTAAAGAGTTTCTTAGAATGCTAAGAAACACGTGTTCAGCTGGTCCTGAGCATTTATCCAAGAGTATCTTTCCACTTCCTAGTCCTACAACATCAGTTCTAAAGACTTCTAAGCCATCTGCCTAAAGGGAACAGGAGACCGGTACTATTCCCAATTGTCCCACTCACCTGCTTCTCAGTGTAACCAACGCCCCAGCATCATGTGGAAGAAAGTGTCAGCTCTGTCAGTCATTTGATAGTTAAGAAATCACTTGTCTATCTGGGCATCAAATTCTTCTTCTGTAAAAGGAGGAGAATAAACTGGACAACCTCTAAAATTCGTCCCTGTTCTAAAATTCCAGAAGTCTATATGGCTTCATTTTTGTCTGTTGTTTATCTGCTTTTCTTATAGGAGGAAATTATAATGTCTAACTTAATTTTTCAGCAAAATTTTATTGCCTTGGGAAAATGATCTGCTCTTATCCTTCCGATCTATAGCTCATCCTTCACAGAGAAACCAACAAGTGCTGCTGTCAGTTTCAGGTTTGCATAGAGAATATTCCCTCTCATCTCACTTGGTGATTGAGTGGGAGGCAGTAGGCAGTATTTCAAAATGCAAACTGACATTTAATTATACAAAAATCTCCTTCCACAATCACTTCTCTTGCCAGGCTGATTCTGATCTACTTGAACATTTTTCCTTTTTTGTTGATTCCTAGTTTTCCAGTTCTTATTGAGAATAATCGGAAATGGGACTCCAACACTAGATTTATAGACTTGCTACTTCTTCCTCTATGTAACAGAATTTTAAGGTGACATTGTATTTGCAAAATGATGTCTCTTTCTGATACTCACCTGAACCCCTCATATCCACACTGACATTCTCAAAATCTGGGTATTGCCCATTACAGTAATATTTTAAAAATGGAATATTTGTACAAATGTCACTTAAAAGCTTAAGTGGAGATTCTGGCAAAAAAAAGAAAAAAAGGATGGAAATGGACCATTTTGTCCTAGCTAATTAAACACTGAAATGATTCAGCATGGAGATAAGTCAGCCAGGACTACAGCGAGGCAAGTGAGGCACTTGTCTCAGGTATGGAATTTAAGGGGACACCAAAAATCTCAATATTAAGATAAACAATGTATTAATGCAATATTTTAGATCAGTAACAGTGCCATGGGAAGCCATAGTGGAGCCTCACACAAAAGGAAAAAATTTTTAAATGATCTTATCTTTATTTAAAATTTTAATATTTTGCTCACAGTGGATTTAATTGAATTTGATATTTTTTGAAATATTAAAATAAAATATTTATATTGATTACTAAATTGGGGGCATCCCTTTAAAGCTTTAAAGTTTGCACCCAAGGCAAGTTCTTTCTTCACTTCACATAAGTCCTAGCTCTGGCATAACTTACCTTCTGTTATAAAACACAGGAAAATGTCAATGCATCTTGTTCTTCACAAACAGGGACTCCTACAATAACTCTAATGATTTCTATTACAGCTACCATTTGTGTGTGTGCATTTTCTAAGTGATTGATACCATTTTAATAATTTATTCTAAGCAGTGACTGGAGAAGTAGGCAATTTTCTTTTTACATCAAAGAAAAATGAAACTCTGAAAGGTGAAAATAACCTGACAAGGGGCATACCTCATGTACATTGTACTGGTAAATGAGATCAAGGGGGAAAGAGAGAGAAGGAGAGAGAGAGAGGAGAGGGAAGGAAAGGGGAAGAAAAGAGGAAGATGAATACACATCCCAGAGATTTTCAAAATGAAAGTATATGGACTCATCTGGTAAATTTGTTTAAAATGTAGATTCTCAGGCTGACCCATACACATTGAATTAAATAAGACCTGGGGTAACTCTGAGAATCTGCATTTTAAGTGATTCTGATGCAAGTGTTCTAGGGACCACACACAGGGAAACATTGAGGAGATGCAACCAATGTGGCAGAAACTGGGTTATATTACCTGAAACACATTTTCTCATAATCCCCCCCCTTAAAAACCTTCAAGGTAAGAATTAATGCCCCTTTCTTTACATATGAGGAGAAAAATCCAAGATGATAGGAAAATTATAAACTCACATGTTGAGTGAGTAGAAAAACCAAATTCAACCCAGATCTTTCTCCAAATTCAAGCACTTCCACTGTACTCTGGGACTTTCATGGAAAAGGCAAGAGATGCATCTGTCAGGTGAGTGCTCTCATGTACCAGGGACACCAGATTATATCAAGGACTCTAAGTGAGCTAAAGTGTGGTGGTCAACAGGTGCAATGGCAGGCAGCTAGGACAGATGTCAGAGGTATGCACAGATGAAAAGAAAGGGTAACAGATGTTAGAGTAGAGGTGAGGCAGAACAATTCAGGAGGTAGAAAGTAAGTAATGTTTTGCACATACAATGGTTTTACCTTGCAGTTTAAAATTCAAAATGAGAACTACAATTATGTCAATGTTAGCTATTATATGAGCAAATGACATATTTATAGATATGGCAATAATATAGTTTGATGAGAGAAGAACAAAATCTTGGATTGAGCCTGTTTTCTAGTTTAAGACTACATCGCTGGATTTATCCCCATTCTGCCTTTCTGTGCCTTCTGTCTCTAATCCTGAACTCAAGCTGTTCTTACTGGGCCAGCCTAACATTTGTATATTTTTAAGCCAGAACCTACTTGAAATCCATCTCCCCCGGGGACATTGTTCTGGTTAACTCCATATCATTCCAATATTTGACACCTTACCATTATGTCCACTCAATCTTCACTTGTGTTTACACTTTTGTGTACAGCATACTTATTTTTTATATACCCTGTACTGTCTGGCTTAATAATTTATCTAGATCATGGCTAGATTTGTAAACCGATTTCCAATTTCTGAAGGTGTCTGAATACTCTAAAATTTAATTACTGAAATTCTGTCACCTGAAAAATCCTATATACCATGAAAAAGGTCAATGAGTACTTACTGAAGAAACTAAAAATAAAAGTTACAATTTTGTAAGGCAATAGCTCTGCAATGTTATCACTCACTTGTCACGGAAGTGAGTTTTCTCCCCCCAAAGAATACATTTATAGACTTCTAATATTTAATAACCTTTAGACTTTTGCTATTTTTCTAGATCTGGTTGGGAGTAGGGGTGGAAGAGAGAAGTGTAAGATATAGTCTTGAGAAACTTAAAATCTTATTGAGGAAATAAAAACCAATGTCCATAATTTTAGGCCGAGTTGCACTTACCTACAATCAGAATAGAGGAAGGAGGGTTCAACAGGACCTCAAGAGTCATCTCGGATGGGATGGGAACACTTGTGGGCAGAATCTGATTGGGTGGAGAGGGGAAGAAATTGGGCCTAAAACAGAGAGAGAGGTGAGAACTGGGGGGTCAGTGCAGGGGTGTCATCAGCCCAAACAGGTCTTGGTCATAAAAGGTATGTAATGGGAAGACTGTGTGGAGGGAAGTTTAAAAAGAAAATAAGTGAGAGAATAAGGAATAAGAGAGAATAGTTCTAAATCTCACACCAAAGGAGAGATGGATATAGTGATAATAATGGAATAGACTATTGAGGACAACTGAAAAATGTTTTCTAGAGAGAAGAGACTTTGAAGATACAACACAAAGAGGCGGCAATGAAGGGAGAGAAGGGTTACAGTGGTAGTGAGTCCCCAGAAGAAGGATTTAGGGATAGGGTGTAGAATATAGTGGCCAGGAAAACTTCAGGGAGGGGGGGAGAAAACGCCTCAGAAGGGAGATATGGATCAGAAAACTGCTGGGGCAAGTGAGAGGCAAGGAGGGAGCCCACCCCAGTTGGTTTCCATCATGTTCATCATGTGGGAGGTGAGATCAGCTCCTAAAGGCAAAAGGGAAGTGGGGGTAGATGAGAATGTCTGGTTAACTGTGGAGGTGAGTTTTACAGGGTATCCGTGCCATCTTCGTCATCCATGGTGACACTATGCTGGGTGTTAAATCTTATATAAATTATTCTTATAGAGTGAGATTCTACATTTTATATAAAGAGATAGCTACAGCTTCTCCCTCAAGATCATAAAGTATAAATAATATAAAGTCTAGATATATTTCAAGATCCAGAAGCAAATCCCAGTTTTCATTCTTTTATAGTTTTGTATATTCCACTAGGCAGTCAACTTTTTTTTTTTAAGTTGCTAATTTGGGTTGTTATTACACAATGTTTGAAATGAAAGAACAGTGGTGTTAATGACTTGGGTTGGCATAGCTTAATAAGTGACATGAAAACTTTGTAAATCATTAATATCAGAGAGCTAACATTAACTTCTCGATAAAAGTAACTGTATTTTAAAGTATGAAGTAATCCCTAATTTAATTGAGAATTTCTATGACTTTCCATATATCAGGAAGATGTCTAGCAACTACATAGTAAGAAGCATCTCTGGGCATATTAAGTTTTAGATTTAAACCAAAAAACAAGACTGAGATAGAGCATGCTATTTATTTCTCTCTTTTCTCCCGGAGACAGAAACTATGAAGAGTCTAACCAGTTATTCTTGCTGGGGATATAGGGCAATCCATCTATGGAAAAGCAGAGAAGCAACTAACTTTAAGTTTTAAGGACATATACTCATGCCAATCTTGGGGAAATTTGTAACCAAGAACTAATAATCATTGGCTAACTAGGAATTGACATTTCTAGTATTTTTTTTTACCTTCCTTAAAGGATTGATTTATTATGTTTTATACATATTATTAATTTCAGGAACAGTGTTCAAATTGCCTCCATTTCAATGAAGTGGGAGATAAAAGATGCCTGGTTCAATCAAGGCTTCCCAAATCCCCACAGTTGTGTGTGTTGGAGGTCAGTCAGCGAACTGCCGGAAACACAAAAACATAGTATAGTCCCCTTCCTGGGCTGCTACTTTACTAAGAAAACTTCAGTTATCACAGATTATAATTGCTTCAAGAAATGGAGAGGGTCATTTTACAAATAATTTTACTGACTTGACGTTCTTCATTTACTTGTCTAGAGATTACTTATGCAAAGTGTTCTCACAGTCCACAGATGACTGGAGCATTCACCTTTTAGAAGATTTTGTAAACTCCTCTGGATCCTGGATGAAGGAGTTCTCCTCCTGGGGGAACATCAGAGTTTGATCCAAGGGTTGTTTTCATTTCTTCATACTGAAAGCACCGTTTCTTATTTGCCATGGATTTCTCCCCTCCTTTGTGTCTACGCATGATAAGGAAAGCATCTCACTCTAGGACGTACCATCCTCCCTCTTCCTGCCAGCAGTGCGCCATGCAAATACACTACACCCAAGAAAACCGCCTTGGAACAATTGATTAAGAAGAATATTAAAATAAAACTGCTTTTTCCCCCCATCTTGTGGGGAAAGGGAGCAGCTTGCCTCATTAAAGATTCAGAGCGGCTAGTATTGCCTTGGAGCAGGCTGACTAGTTTTGGAATCTCTATTTAGCCAACATGCAAATTACAATCTCCCTCAAAAGCCTTGAATTTAGGCAAAGAATGCTGATCAAGAAAATGGAAAAAAATATACATATATATATGTACATATATATATCTGTACATACATCCATACATACCAGCAGACAGTGTCACTCAAAATCTCTGCTCCTGTTAACTGTTCAGACTGAACAGAGTATGAGGAGCATGCCAGTAATAAAAGCCAAATTGGCTGCATTGCAAGCCTGCCTCTATCCTCTGCTATGTCTTCGTTTAAGATATTTAATATCTCAGCATGATCTGAAAAGTGAAGACAGTATAATTTCTTTGTAAGATTCTGGTAAATTTGAAGATAACACCTGTAAAGTGACTACAACAATGGTCTGGCACATAACTTAATATTTAACAAATGTTAATTGCATCTCATTAGGAATGTACTTTTGGGACTGGGGTGGAAAAAAAAAAACCCTAACCTGAAGCCCTTCTTACTATAGTAATTATTTCACATAAATGACTACTTTTCTCCACAATATGATCTCTGAGATTGATTTTAAGTAGCAGTTCCTTTTTTTTTTTTAAAGATTTTATTTATTTATTCATGAGAGATAGAGAGAGAGAGAGAGAGGCAGAGGCAGAGGGAGAAGCAGGCTCCCTGCGGAGCAGGGAGCCCGACGCGGGACTCGATCCCAGGACCCTGGGATCACGACCTGAGCCGAAGGCAGACGCTTAACTGACTGAGCCACCCAGGCGTCCCATAACAGTTCCTTTTTTTCTTATCATAAAAAATTTAAAGCATAAACAAAACTAGAGAGAATAGTGTAATTCTTCCCCAGTTTTGATAATTATGATCTTGTGTTTCACCTGTACTCCCTTCCACTTTTCCTTCCCCCCCAGATTATTTAAGCAAATCCCAGAAATAATATTATTTCATCCATAAGTATTTCAGTATGTCTCTCAGAGATAAGGATTAAAAAAACTCCACATAACCACAATACTGTTACCACAATTTTAAAGTTAATAATAATTCTTTAATATCATCAAATATCTGGCCAGTGTTCAAATTTCCTCAGCAGTTGTATGCATGTTTTTTTTTTCCCATAACAACTTGTTGAATTAGGATCTGAGTAAGATCCATGCACTGCAATTTGTTGATATGTCTTTCAACCCATAATTCCCCTTTCCTTCTTTTTTTTTTTTTTCCCCAATGTATTTGTTGAGAAAACCAGGTTGTTCATGCTTTAGAAGTGTCCTAATGTTACACTTCCTCTCATTTCATCCCTATGGTATCTGTTAATGCATTCTTCTGGTTTTCTTTCTTTCTGAAACTGATAATCAGATCCAGAGGCTTGGTCAAATTGAGGTCTAATCTTTGTCACAAGTAATTCACAGGTGATACTGTGGACTTCCATCAGGAGGCACATGATACTTCTTGTCTTTCTTTTTGTGACATCAGCAGCTGCTTGGTGGGCATTACCTGAATCCATTGTTACAAAACAAAAATAGTGTATCGTTCTTCTATATTTATTAGCTCATATAGTCCTACAAAAAGAAAGCCCTCTCATCAAGTCTTGATTATTAATTCTTGATTTCCTGAAAAGGCAGGAAAATGGCTTCATTTCTTCTATTTTTTTTCAAAATACTGAGTTTGTTTGCTAGCATCCTACACAGGTGGCCACTGAGGACTTTTTTTTTAAGTATCATTATAAACTTACGTATTTAACATATCTGGCGTGTTTCAATCTATTATTGATATTCTTCTTTTTTTTTTAAAGATTTTATTTATTCATTTGAGACACAGAGATACAGAGAGAGAGAGAGAAAGCACGAGCAGGGAGAGAGGCAGAGGGAGAGGGAGAAGCAGGCTCCTCGCTGAGCCAGGAGACCGATGTGGGGCTTGATCCCAGGACCCCGGGATCATGACCTGAGCTGAAGGCAGACGCTTAACCATCTGAGCCACCCAGGCACCCTATTGATATTATTCTAATTGATGATTAAATTACTCTGTCTTTCCTTAATAAGAGCCTTTTCAAGTTGATTCCTTTTGATACAAACCTAGTAGTCTTTATAGCTTCCTTTCTTTCCACCTCATCTTTTATTCCCTGTCTGAGCCCTAGGTTGGAGAATCAACTATTTCTCCAAGGACCTTAGTTCCTTTCAGAAAGAAATGGCACTTAGATACCAGAGTCTGGTAGCATGGGCTGCTTATTGTTATGCCATTAGTCATTGTTATAAGCCTTTTCAGTGGACAGGGGTAGTAAATACTTCTTTTAAAAAAAAAATAAAACATTTCACAGGTTCTTACTAATATTGCAATTCAAATCTGATACTACAAGGTTTCTGTTAACCCCATTCATCTTCATGGATCTGCATCTTCATCTTCTTCTTCCAATGTCCAAATTCCAGTTCTCAAGGACTCCAGCATAATAACTCAAGGACTCCAGCATAATAACTCCAGCATAATAACTCATAACTGTTTTATCTTGCAATCCTAGTTTCAGGATCACAATATGATTACTACCTCCAACAATACACTTAGACTAAGTAATTTAAATTCTGTTTGCATTTCTTTTGTTTTTGGGGTGTATATCCCTAGGTGTGTATAGTCAAATTACAGTGGTTCAAACTTTTAAGAAGTTATTTTCTATGTGGTTATGCCACCAATTTTTTGCACAGGTTACTTGTTTCACTTTGCTTTTCACTTTTAAGGGTTGTTTTCACATTTAATTTTGTTTTATATGTATTTAAAATATTTACATTGCTCCAAAAATCGTATCTATGATAAAAAGGTATATTTAGGAAATTCTAGCTTATCTACCTGTCCCCACCATCCTCTATAAGACTCATATCTTATTTTTAATAGTTTATCCATTCTACTTTTAATATAAGTAAATACACATCCATCTTGTAAGAATAATGGTAATATCCTGGACATACATTTATCCATC